CCAGGGCACGGGCAGCTGCCGTGAATTCAGCCTCCTCAGTGGTCTCAGACAGAACACCTCTGGGCCAGGCCCAGATGTACCCCCTCGGCCCCCACTTCACTGTGGTGAGAAAGCGGACTTGGACTTACCCCAGCCCAGGGCCCTCCTGGCTCTTCCCCTCTCACCACACCCAGAGCAAAACACGGCTTTAAGAACCCCACTCGGGACCCATCACAGCCTGGCTCAAGCACCATTTCCATTCCCAAGCACATGCCAGAACTCTCTCTACTGGGGACCACTTGAGCCCTTCCTTAAGAGGGGGGAAGCTGGGAGACTTGGGAGCACAGCTGCATAAAAACAAAGCAAGTTTTCCTTTTGAACTTGTCACAAATTCCACCTCGAAAAAAATATTAAATGTTGCTTTACTCTGCAGAAAAAGAAAAAAAAAGATGGCTTCGTCCAGAGAGGCATCTTTTCTAATTCACATAAAGGCACCTGATGAGCCAGCAGCAGCCTTGCAGAGATGGGTCCATCTTATGGACCTTCCCACCAAGTCCCCTGGCTGGTGAGTCACTGAGTCACTCCCAGAAGGGACTGGACAAACCCTTAGCCAGCTGTCACAGCACCAAGCAGAGGAGGAGAGAGAAATCATTGGGAAGCCAGGACACAGGAGTCAATTTCTCACACACACACACACACACACACACACACCTCCACTTGCCTGATTTATTTATTTTTAATATATTTTTATTGATTTCAGAGAGGAAGGGGGAGGGAAAGAGACATAGAAACATCAAAGATGAGAGAATCATTGATTGATTGATTGCCTCCTGCATGCCCCACACTAGGGATCAAGTCCAAAACCCAGGCCTATGCCCCACCGGGAATCCAACCATGACCTCCTGTTCATAGGTCAATGGGCCACACCAGCTGGGCCCGATTTATTTTTAACCACTGAGACCCTCATGGTAGAACATAGCCAAGGCCCCCAGGAAAGTGACATATTCCTGGAAGCTCACCACCTGGTCCTCGTTCTGGGCCAGGTCGGCCATCAGCGTTCCAGTTTCAGACTTCTGCAGCTTCTAACATGTTAGAATGAGGAATCCAGACTGCGATTATGAGAACCTGGGCTCTCTCCCTTCCCCCTCCTCGTCAGCCCTCACTCATATGAGTGGCTCACGGGGCGGGGAGGGGTGGGGTGCTTACTCGTCACCAAAGATATGAGTCCACCTTGGGTTCACTTGGCTTTACCCTACCCGGCTCACTCAGCTTTTCATGCCTCCTTTCCTGGGGCTGTTCTGGGGCGGGGGGCGGCTGACAGGAAGATGGGGGACCCAGTGGGGACCCCTGCTCCGTTTGCCTGCCGTGTAACACAGGGGGAAGGAGGTGCGTAGCCAGCGCAGTGTGTGCGTACACGTGTAGGGGAAAGAGGGCGGAAAAGGGTGCCCCCAGAGGGTGTTCGGACTCAAACCTAGATGAAGGGGGCGGGGTGTGGGGGAGTAGCCAGTGGTCCATGGGATGCAATTTAAAGGACTTCTACAACACCTATCTGCCAGCAAAAATACATTCCTACCACCCCCAACTCCCCTCCCCGCCCACCTGGAATCCCACCTGGAGTTTCCGGGGAATGAGCCCAGCTTGTGAGCATCATTAGTGATTTACCTCTACTGGAAGGTGATGATTGAGGTGGGGCTGGCTGCCACCCAGGGGGGAATGGAGGAGGGAGAAGGGTGCTGTCCAGTTTGCCCTTCGTATCCGTGTTATCAGGGTGGCCTCCTGTGAGCTGGTGACCAGTCAGACTGGCTTGTCCGGCACTGCCCTCAGGAGCCACACCCCAGCCACCCGGGCCCTCACTCCCAAAGCACTTTCCCCCCTTAGCTTCCCCTGCCTCTTAGCAGCATCGGGTGGAAGGCGAGCAAAAGCCTGGCCCCACCTCCCCACTTCCCACCGGGGCACCACTAAGCCCTGATACAAGCTAAGTCCCATCCACGGTGAAGAAGACCAGGGCGTGGAGTGGGAGCCAGGACCCTACCACCCAGAGGCTCTCCACCCACTCACGGAGGAGCTCTGCCTGCCCCGCCCCACCCCCAGCCACGGGGGACAAAACACTCAAAACCAGCCCCCGGGCACCTGCAATGGCAAATCTTTATTTCCTCTGCTGGACGGGACAGCGGGAGAGAGGGCACAGGGCGCCGTGAGAGGCGCTGCGGAGGCTGGGCGGGGCTGAGCCGTCACTTGCGGTCCTCCAGAAAGAAGTCGTTATAGGCCATGCACAGTGTGGTCAGGAACACCGAGTACTCCTTGAAGTCGATCTCCTGGTCGCTGTTTTTGTCGAGGCTCTTCATCAGGTCATCAATGCTGCTCTCCTGCATCTTCTTGGGGGGCCCAGGGAGAGGGACCGGTCAGCACCCCTCTCGCCCTGCCTCCCCCCCTACCCTACCCCACCCCTACCCCCGGCCCGGGGCCTGGCACCAAGCAGGGGTGTGGGGACCTGAATCCTGAACTTAATACAATAGGAAGGCAAGGCCGGCCTCCCTTCCCCTCACCACTTTCCACTGTCCAAACAAATAATAATCTAGATTTTACACAACACCCGGTAGTAACACTGGGGACAGTGCGGCATGGAGCACGACCCTCGTCTCCGACTGGGGGAGAGCTGAGGATTGACCCAGACTCCTCATCTCTGTGTTGGAGCTGAGAAGCCGCGGTGCCCTTCCCCTGCTGGGACAACGTGCGGGACAGCTGTGTGGAGACGAGTGCCTGGCGCCCAGTATAATCTCTGTCTGATCCCCTGCCCGCCCAGCCCAGCTCCAGCAAGAGAAGGGGAACCGCACCCTCCGGTGGTACAGGAAGAACACAGACATCCTGCCCTCCCCTCTCCTCTGCCCGCAGCCCCAGCTTTTCCGAGGGAGACAGGACACCGGGACATGCACAGATGGAAACAGCCTCTCCGTGATGCAATCCTTGTCCCCAGTCTGCGCTCCTGTTATAGCCAGGCCCTCCCCAGGGCCTGAGTCCTCCTGTAATGAGCCCCTGCTGGACCGGTGGCCCCTCCCTCCGCCCTCATTAGCTCCAGGATGCAGAGAAACCGGCAGGAAGGCCAGAGAGCAGGCCTGTGACACCCTCATCTGCTTCAGTCCCTGCCCAGAGGGGCACACTCAGGGGAGCTTCTCTCTGAGAAGGCCCGCCGGGGGTCAGGGTGTGACAGGAGATGCGCCCAGGCTGAATTTTAAAGGAAAAGGAGAGAGTGAGACCCAGGCCTGGGATGCCAGCTCAGCCTCTCACGAGCTGGGTATTCCTAGACAAGGCATATAATGTCCCTGAGCCTCGATTTTTATTTCTTTTACTGTAAAATAATATTATAACTACCTCATAGGCCTTCCCCTCCGTCAGTCACCTCCCTTCCACCATCTGTGTCTGGAAAGAATCCGTTCTGTCTCATTCACAAACTAAGAGAATGAGCCTTTCGGTTCCTATGTCAGCACCAGCTGAGAGCTCTGCCTGTGGGGGCTCTGCCCTTGAGCTGTGCACAGCCCACCCAGACCCCCGGACCCCCCCCCCCCCCATTCCTAATGATGCCCCACATAGGCTCTGCCACAGCTGTGTGGGCCTGGCCTCAACATCAAAGGTTCCTTGATTTTGTTCTCTAAACCCTCACACAAACTTCCTTCTTATCAGCGAAGCCTGACTCATCCTCAGCACAGAGGTCTAGAGTTCTGTTGGCCCAACATGTCCACCCTCTTCCTTTGGTCTCCGTCCCTTGTGGCCATCCGCTCCTGGCTGAGGCTAGAGTACCCTGAGCCTAGGTGTGTGTCCCCTCACTCTGGGTCTGTAGAGGCAGGTGGGTCTCCCCCCTCCACTGGGACCCCCTGATGGTAATATCAGTGCTTCTTCTTTTCCCCCTCCCCTCCTACAGTAGCCACTGGGAGCACTTGAACTTTGGGGAGGAGGGGAGGGGACAGCCACCTACCTCACCAAGACACAGCTCCTTCTTGATCAGCTCCTTCAGTTCCCTCCGACTCAGGGTCAGTTTGCTGCCCTCTCTCCCTGAATATTTGTGGAAAGTGGTGACCATAGTGGTCAGGGCCTTCTCAAGAGGGGTCTCCATGATGGTGTGCAACTCTGGAGACGGAAGAGAGGAGGCAGGTCACAAGCCAGACCTTCTGCTGCCCTCTATCAGAAGCCCAGTTCCCAGACCTCCCTCAAGGACCAGAGACTGGAATCCATGATGAGACCAAAATCCACCAATAGGTGGATCCAAATGTGTCAAGACAGGTTCTAGTGAGACCCAAAGCTCACTTGGAACAGCCAAAGCTCACTTGGAACAGCCAAAGTGGGGAGACTGCACACTGACCTGCTTGGGGGATGTTGAAAAGGGGTTCTAGAGGCAGAGGGATGACAAGGTGACCTCCCCAGAAGAAGTGGTGAGAGATGATGGAGCAGATAAGGGGTCAGGATTTTCTCCCTGCCCCATCCAGCCTGAGCATTCATTTTCAGAGATAATCCTCACCCAGTCCCCCTCCTTTGCCTGGCTGCCTGAATCTCCGGATATTGGGAAGGGTCCCATTATGGGAGTGAGGAACCAGACAATGAGAGAGTCCAGGGGTTGGAGGGGGCTAGGGCTGGAACTGGGCGACAGGCCTCAACAGGAAATGGAACAGAGGTGATGAGACTTGTCCAGCCGGTCTCCAGCCTCTGGCCCAGTGACTGCACATGCAGACTGACCACAAGGCAGTGAGGGGGATGGGCTTATTAAAATCTCCAGGATCGCCAGCAGGTGTGGCTCAGTTATTGAGCATCAAACTATGAACCAGGAGGTCATGGTTCAATTCTGGTCGGGCACATGTCCGGGTTGCGGGCTGGGTCCCCAGTGTGGGGCGTGCAGGAGGCAGCCTATGGATGACTCTCTCTCATCGTTGATGTTTCTATCTCTCCCTCTCCCTTCCTCTCTGAAACCAATAAAAATATTTTTTAAAAATAAATAATAAAATATCCAGGATCATTCTGAGAGCTGGGTCCAGAGGTTGCATTGGATGGGGCCCTCTCGGCCACCAGCACAGTGGCATCCACCCAAGGAGAGGGGCAGCTGGAGTTCCTGTGACTCAGCCTTGAAAACCACTTCCCCTTGCAAGAGGAAAGAGGCAACACCCAAGGAACGCGGAGGCTGCAGGTGAATCTGTGCAGAGTACAGAGCAAGCAGGAAGAAGCTGCTGGCTCTCACCTTCAGCCCAAAACCACCCAGCGATTCTTGAACTGGGCCTGTCAGTCACCTCCCACCTCCCCAAAACCTCAGCTTCTCCCCGTCTCCAGGAGACTCAGCCAGGACGGCAGTGGAGACAAGGGCCTCTGGGCAAGGGCAGCAACATCCTACCCGGTTCCATCCCCACCTCCACCCCCCAGAGCCTCTTCTCAGGAAATGCTGAAAGCTGCCCTGAACACATGCCCACTCATTGGGCCTGGCCTTCCTTGGTGGAGGTCACCACGGCTTGTCACCCTCTGGCCTCATTGCCTCACCACATAGATGACCAGGGAGATCAGAAGGAAGGACTCACCGAGGACGCAGCAATCCAGAGAGCTCACACGGCAGAAGCAGGCTCCCTCCCACTGCTCTCTGCCTTTATTCCCTCTCTCCAATCCCCAGGAAATCAGGGGAGGGACAGGGCCAATGAGAAGGGGCCAGGGACATGAGGAGACCCAGGTCAGAGCCTCCGGGGACAGGCCTGGGAGAAATTCTCTCTGCCAATCTCACCTTCCTATTTCCAAACAGAGGGGACGCGACAGGCTCACTGAGCCCACAGTGGCATGCACATCTTCAGCCCCAGAAACTTGGTTTTCCCAACCAAAACTCAGCATTCTAGTGGGTCAACAGGGCAGAAGAAAAGCCAGGCTGTCCTAGAAAGAAGACCCAAGAGGTGTGGGCTAAACGCAGGGTATCTCCCAAGCCCAGGCCACTGTCCACTTGGGCCCTCCCACCCCCACCAAGAGCATATGGACATGGGAACTAGTGGAGGAAGATGTTTCTTGCCAAAGGCATGATCCAGGTCCTTAGCTACTATGGAGCCTAAGGTTTTTGAAGGGCTTTCAAATGAATGTTTTCTTTTAACCCTCACTCAACTTCATAGGGAAAGAATTGTCAGAGACTCTTGGAATAGACTGAGAATCAGAATTGAGGAGGGGACCCAGGGAAGGGTAGGGCCCGGTGATCAGGCAGAGGTTTCAATGGTGGGGAGCAGGTTCCAGGTGCAATAATGAATCGGGTAGGGGGTCAGGGAGAGTTGCCTTAATATTCTACCATCAACAATCCAAGTCTGAGAACAGAACCAAGTTAGGGGCTTAGTACCTATGGCTGATGCAGCCCCACCCTAACTTGCCTGGCTCCTCCCTGCTGGCCCCACTCCACCCCCACCCCACCCCCACCCCTAGCTGGCAAGGCTAGAGAGGCAGTAGGGACTGGTTGCCTAGCAACAGGAGTTTCCGAAGTGGAGAGTGAAGCAGAAGGAGGTTGGGGAGGCAGGCACCCCCCCCCACCCCCACCCCCAGGATGATGGTCGGACTTGGGCTGGGCAGAGGACAGAGAGAGAAGGAGGAAGAGGCAAATTTTTTGTGGACCAAAGTTCTACCAAAGTCTCTCTCTATAGTCACACTCTGAAGGAATATCTGAGTCATCTACCCCATTCTTCTGAAACTTGAGAGAAAAACACAATGTGCTGAGAAGAAAAGGGGAAAGCTTGAAAGATCAAGAGACCAAACCCTCCCTGCTTCTGGACCTGCCCCCTACTCAGCTGTTTCTTTCTTCTTTTTCTTTTTTTTTTTTTAACTCAGCTGTTTCTTAAAGGTCCCCATCCCACCCAGGTGTGACCTGGAAAGCTAAACTCAGTCCCACCCACTGGAGGCTGTAGCCACAGGCCTTTACCCTAAGGAAAAGCAACACCATGCCTGATATTGTAAACCTCAATTTTATTTATCAGATCATATGTCTGGAATTTTGTCTTCAAAATTATGGTCATTTCCCCCTGTCTCCCTTGCTCCCACTCCAGCCACTGTCCTCCACACATCCCTTCTGAAGTCCTTTGTCCTTCTCTGAAGGAACATGATTCCTACTAATAACGGATCTCATGTTATTAGGGGCTGAAGATGTGCATGCCACCGTGGGCTCAGTGAGCCTGTCGCGTCCCCTCTGTTTGGAAATAGGAAGGTGAGATTGGCAGAGGGAATTTCTCCCAGGCCTGTCCCCGGAGGCTCTGACCTGGGTCTCCTAATGTCCCTGAAACCAATAAAAATATTTTTAAAAATAAATAATAAAATATCCAGGATCATTCTGAGAGCTAGGTCCAGAGGTTGCATTGGATGGGGCCCTCTCGGCCACCAGCACAGTGGCATCCACCCAAGGAGAGGGGCAGCTGGAGTTCCTGTGACTCAGCCTTGAAAACCACTTCCCCTTGCAAGAGGAAAGAGGCAACAGGTGAATCTGTGCAGAGTACAGAGCGAGCAGGAAGAAGCTGCTGGGCCTTTGGGACAGAGGCAGAGGTTAGAAAAGAATAATATTTTCGGGCTGTTGCCCACGGCCTGGCTTCCCTCCACACTGCCTCTCTGATCTGACCATGTCCAGGAAGGACTCATCCATCCCTGAGGGTTTACCAGGGGTGGGCAAACTTTTTGACTCGAGGGCCACAATGGGTTCTTAAACTGGACCAGAGGGCCGGAACAAAAGCATGGATGGAGTGTTTGTGTGAACTAATATAAATTCAAAGTAAACATCATTACATAAAAGGGTACGGTCTTTTTTTTTTTTTTTTTAGTTTTATTCATTTCAAACGGGCCGGATCCGGCCCGCGGGCCGTAGTTTACCCACGGCTGGTTTAGCCATGCACGGGAAGGTGGTGGCAGGACAGGGCCTGGGTTGTAAGTATTGTCAGGACTCAACCCTTCTCCACATCCCACACCAGCCTCCTCCACTGGCCTCCCCATGACTCAGCCCATTCCCCCACCTCCCCGTGCCCCCCTGCATCTCCCCCCCC